TTGGTCTGAAAACACAGAGAACATTTTAAGAGAACATAATTAGAATCACTTGAGTTTGTCCAAGCTCCCATTTTGATGTGGTGTAAATCAAAGAATTATTAGGGTAAGAGTTTGAGGGATGGAAGGAAACAACACCTCCTGGAATGTATAGATGTAAAAGGAAAATATATCAGGATATATTAGAGTCAGATTTTGGTACTTGTGTTTAATAAAGGATTCTATGATTTGTAGCAATATTTTCATACCAATTACACATCCTTTAATAAGTGAATTGAATTGTGTGTGTGTGTTTCTTAGTATTCACTAAATAAAGTAAATTTCACAAGAAATAACATTTTAGTAATGAATCTCTTAGAGAAAATTCTTTGAAATAGTTTAATCAATTAACTTTATGAAATAAAGTCATATCCAAAACAACTGGTTTGGACTAATTCTCACAAATAGTGATATTTTTGACATGTAGTTAAGTTTCCTCCTAGAATGAAGTTTTCCAAGAGCAAGAACTTACATACTGAGGATTCCCAATGAATTTTTTATGTGTTGAAAAGCAATATTGAATTAACTCAGAGGACCTAAATGTGCTAGAAAAATCTTGTGCCTCTTTAAAAGTTCACTTTACTTAGATCAAAAACAAACAAAACACTGATAGTACTGTGAGTTAGGTGTTGGGCTTCTCATTATAAGATTGGCAGTTCGAAACCACAAGTCTAGGAAACGCTGTAAACAATCACTATAAGTCGACATTCCCACTGGGGAAGAAATTTGTATTAGATTATGAGTTAATATCTGACTCCAGGAGAATGTAGACTCAGGTAGAGAATTTGTTGACTTAAAAATGACCTCTCTTTGTTTTTGTAATTTTTTTCCATTACTGTTATGCTAGACAGGGTTCTCTAGAGAAACAAGACCAGAATGCTAAGAATTGTATATGCATATATTTATGTAGGTAGATATATAATATAAGAAATAAACATTCTATAAAGTAGTACAAATGGGTCAGTGTAACTGACTCCTGTGAGACAGCTTTGAGACACTGGCAATCCTTCAAGTCTTGAGGGCTGCCAGGTAGAGCTCTGTAGAGCAATTCAGATTATCCAGCCACAGACAGCAGACAGCAAGGCAGGTAAGTCACCAACAGTCAGCCAGATGACAAGATCCAATAGTCCCCAGCTCAAGAGGTGTAAATTCCAATGGTGTGGCAAAGCAGGTCTTGAATGAACCTCAAATTACAGTGACACAGTCCACGGGTTAGGTGTCCCACAGGTAGTGTAGCTTGCAAATTGAGGCACAAAACAAGCAAGGCAGCTGCACACTGGTCTGATGATCAAAGAGCAAGAGAAAAGAGAGGCGAGGCTCACTGAGCCATTTATCGCTCTGTCCTTCAATTAATCCCACATGTGTTCATTGGCCATGTTGGCACAATAAAC